AAAATGGAACACTAAATACTTTGGTTTGATACATTAATGAGAAAAAATAGAATAAGAATCTTCATCAATAATCCATTATGTGAGAAATGAAAGTATTCTTACCTGAACAGGAGGCATCCTGTAGTCTGGGATGGCGAATGGCCTGTAATCCAGCAGTGGTGGGTGTCTGTAGTCCAGCGTGGGTGGCTGCCTGTAGTCCGCCACAGGAGGGTGCCGGTAATCCACCGGTGGTTGCCGGTAATCCGTGAAAGGAGGCTGTCTGATATCAGGTTTAACGTCTTGTCTTGCCTTAACCTCTGACCTGTAACTAACAAAGACCCCAGACTGAAAGAAGACCTCCAAGATAAAGCCATATATTCCCGATAGAAAATGAATATTTCTTATCTTTGAATGGAACCAGAAAAATGACTTAATTCAGGAAATTAAGCCTTTTTTCACCAGAAAAAAAAAAATCCATCAAATGTTAATAAAAATATCAATGGCAGCGACAGTTTAAGGCTTTGTAGCTCCTGGTGAAATATTGAGCAGATCTTTATAAAGATGCGATAAATCTACTCTGAATGATTTAGTAGTCTCTAAGAGTAAAGGGATGTTAAGAAGGAAGTGAGGCTGGAGAGTGCGATGGAGAGTGAACATGACATTGAAGTTGGCAAAAAAAGAGGAAATATGGAGAAAGGCAGAAATAAAATATAACAAGATATAAAGTTTAAATCAAATGTTTGCTACACTTTTTGAAAATAAAGAAATCGACTTTTTCTTACCGTCAGAAATAAAATCAGACTAAAGCTCTCCTGTTTTTATTCAGTTACACTGCAAAAATTATCTAGAATTAAGTAAAAATGTCTGAAATTTAGTGTATTTACCCTTAATTTAAGTGGGTAAATACGATGATTTGCCAATGAAATTAGTATCTTTACTCTTAAAATAAGATAATTAAATAATATGAACTTGAAATAAAACAATGCAATTGTTTTTTTCTTCTTTTAAATGTAAATTGTCTTATTCTATTGGCAAAGTGTCTCACTTTCGTCCTCAATTGGAGAAAAAACGTCCTTATTTTAAGTAAAAATTACTTAATTAGATTTCCATTTTTTGCAGTGTAAGTAAAGTTAACTGTGCTTAAACATTTTGGGAAAGCTCACATGAGTTTTCTAAAGTGCTCTACAGCTTAAACACCAACATTTGAGTTCATTGGAGACACATCTTTGGAAGTATTTTAAGGCAACGCGCCAACAGACTACTTCATTATAGTCAAATCTAAATAAAATAAAGTATAAAAACGACACTGCTTATGGTTTCTGTGATAATTTGGGGCAAAAATGCATCAATCCAGAACAGAAAAAGAAAAGATCTTGTTAAGATGCTGGTCAGAGTCTCTATATACGAATCCTGTACAGGCAAAGGCTGAAATGCCGCTCTGCGAAGAAGAATTCGGGAAGCCACAAGTAACACAGTTTCCAAATGTGCTTTGGGACAAAGACCTTAATTGATTTATTGAAAAAAAGGTTTACGTTTGCTAACCTTAAGAACATCACTTTTACTGTCAAGTACAGATGTTGCACATTGTTGTGTCACAAAATAGATGGAATCTTGGAGATATTTAAGCAAAATGTGTCCAGCAAGAAGTTAAAACTTGGACACAGTAGGATCTTACAACTGAATATTTATCCTAAACACAATGCCAAATTAGATTCAAAGTTACTTAAAAACAACAAAGTAAATTTTAAAAACAGATGTAATTCAAACTCCCCTAAAACATTCTTGAATTTCGGAAATAAACAAAAACATTTTTTCTAAATCTTTGACTGAACTTAGACAGCAAATGAGCCTGATTTAATAGTTCTAGTGAATTTAAACCTTTAGAGCAGGGGTAAAAAATAAAAAAAACAGTGGGGTCTGAATAAAGAAAATCATCAATCAGTAAAGGCCTGGAGACATTTAATCCGTTACTTTAAATAGAATTTACACTGAAATAAAATTAGGTTTTTATGCATCCATGTTATACATTGAATTTTTTAATAAAAATATATAAGAATTTTTTTTTAAATCTAAAGTGTTTTTTGAAGTGGAGAACAACAATCGTTCAGTTTGGTATATAGACAATTTCCTGATTTACTTATTTTATCAAACACCTGAACTGAGCGTTTTTTTTTTTTCTGTCTTAATGTTGGCAGTGGGCTTTAGGCTGCCCTGCAAGGCTTTAAACTTGGGTTTGAATGGAGACTAAGCCATTCTCAAGCACATATCAAGGAGCTCATTTTGAGCCTGGATCCAGATTTATT